ATTCCCGCCCTGTATGCATTAGCAGTCTGTAAATGGCACCCCTGCCACCGCCGCCCCCACCGGGGCTCCCCGTGTTTACCACATCCTGCCTGGTTACTCCTCTTGCCCCTGCCCCATGTGGGCAAGCAGAGACCCACTGCTATCCTGTTCCTGAGGTGGTGCTGCATTAGCACAGGGAGCTCAGGGCCGCTTCCCGCCCCTCTGCCCCCGCCCTGCCCTTCGCACCCCTCGCTGTTCCCGAGTAGATGCCGTGACACTGGAGAGGAGGAGATACCGCGTGGGTGTTGAGTCTCTCAGCATTTTCTGCATAACGGAACTTGCCGTAAATTTTATGCTAGGATCCTAGGTGAAGAAAATTCCCGTCTATCATGTCCCTAAGTTATTTTGTGAAAGATGTTATCAGGTCAGCTGGTCTCATTCTTCATTATTCCTCATCCCCCATCTGCCTCCCAAGGGAACACTGTGTCCTCCAGAGTTTCCACTGCTGTAGACGAGGCTCACTCCAGGTGCGAGGACCGGCTGCTCGCCTGTATCAGAGGGAATCTCTGCTTAAAAGCAGTGCAGGGGCCGGCGCCCGCAGTACGGGCATCCCATATGGGCACCGGTTCAAGTCCCGGCTGCTCCACTTCCAATCCAGCTTCCTGCTAATGCGCCTGGAAAAACAGTGGAGGATGGCCCAAGTGCTTGGGCCCCTGCACCCATGTAGGAGACCTGGAAGAAGCTCCTGGCTTCAGGCTGGCCCAGCTCCAGCCATTGGCAGCCATTTGGGATGGAAGATCTCTCTCTCTGTCTCTGTCTCTCTGTCTCTCTCCGTGTAACTCTGACTTTCAAATAAATCAATAAATCTTTAACAAAAAAAAAAAAGCAATTTAGGAATGCTAGCCAAAATTGAACTTTGGGCCTGGTTGTCTCAGTATATGAAACACAGCTATTTCATTAAGTATTAAGTATTAATCTTCAGATCCTCCATATAAAATGTGAAAGAGAGCTATCAGTAATGTCTAATCTTACTCAGTTTTACGTTAGTGCATAACTGTATATGGTAGACCCTTAATGAAATCTGTCACGTTCACAATTTACTGCCATTTGGTAAAATTCTTCTGTCAGTGTAACTAGTAGCCTCATGCTAGGCAAATGATCTTCTCTGAACAGGTGTTTGTATTAATGAATTTGAAGATCTCAAGAAAAATCTAATTCTCACTCTTCTTTAATTGCACGTTTTCGTTCTTCATAGGCATTTCCCCTGTTAAGCCACCCACATCTGTCCAGAATGTTGGTGTTATGGTTGTTGAACCAAAGGTGCAAACCTTCCATACAAGTTGAATGACTAAGTTCTGGGGGTCTGTGTGTGGGAAGGGATAGCTATCACACAACGTGTGCATAAGTAAACTAGATCATCGCCTTGAGCATTCTGAGTATGCATAATCTTTATGAGTTCATCAAATACTTTTAAATAAGAGAAGATTTGGGCTTTATTCTGAGTAAGATGGGGAGTCAGTGGCAGAGGGGCCAGATCACTTTGCCTCCAGGGGCCACCTTTGAGAGGCCGCAGGGTGGTCGTGATGGAGGTGGTGGGCAGTGGGGCTGGGAGCAGGATGGTCTTGAGGGAGGTGGTGGGCAGCGGTCACCTGGGCAACAGGCCTGGGAGGAGGAGCCCGTAGGCTGGGAGTCATAGCATGGGCGACTCTGGGCAGGGCAGAGCTTTTGTTTTGTTACCTTCTTCTTGAGTAGGGGGTGAGCAGAATGATAACGTGTCCAGTTTGACGCCGAGAGGGACAAGCACGGAGGACCCTTGGCCTTGCCATCCCTGCACCCTCACAAAGGCCCCCTTAGACATTGCAGACCACATCTGTGCAGATGCCCGCCTGTACACGGCAGCGGCACTAGGCAGCATGTGTGGAGGGGCCGCAGGTCTGGCCTGGCCTGTTGGTGAGCAGAGACCTTGGGAAGTCACCACGGGGAGCAGGGGTGGGCCCTGAGCTTCCTGCTGGCATAGACTCGCAGGGAGGGGCCTGCCTTCCTGGGGTCACCCCCTATACCGTCAAGTTCCTTGTCACTGCCGTGACCTGCTGGTGGCAGCCAAGGGCGTCTTGCTTTTCCTTCTCTGGATGGTGGCAGGCCGGAGCTGCAGCTTCTCTCTCACTGTGCTGCATGCACGGCCCCTTTCAGTAAGAATGGGAAATGTGCAGGTGCACACCCAATGGTGTTTGTCCCAGCGGTCCCTTACCTGTTTTGATCAGAGGAGTGAAAATAGCTTTGCTGCCTTGTACTGACTGTGTTTACATCAGGCGTTCAGAATGTAGCTGCACGTTGTAACAATGTGTCTGCTGGGGAAGGAGTCTGGTATTCTGGGCATCCTGGCACCTTGCTGGGGAAGGGACGGAAGGTACCCAGAGGCCACGGAGGTGATGGAGGAAGGAGGTGGCACACGCCATCCCTCTCCCTTCCAGCTACCTTGCCAGGCCTGCCTGCTGCGGCTGCTCCTGCCCCAGGCACCTCCTTGACCAGATGAGCTGCAGGTAGAGCATGGGGATGTTTGCAGGCCGGGGCGCATGGGGCGGGGGTGCGGGGGGTGTGTTCCTGAGTCCTCATGTGCTCAGCAGGCAGCGGGGGGAGCCCCTGAGGTTTGAAGTCTGGGAAAGAGCAGGACCAGGTCCAGCGCTCAGAAAGGTTGGTGTAGGGCGGAGATTGGGTAGAAGAGAAGCCAGGGACAGAGAAGACGAAAGCCTGGACAGTCCCGGAAGCTTGGCAGGGAGGGGGTGAGAGGATCAGGTAGCACCAAGGATCAGGAGTGCAGGGTCAGGGGTGGCTGCAGGACGCCCCGAGCCTCAGAGGCCCCAGTGGAGATGGTGAAGGTGGGAGAGAGACCCTGGGAGCCTGGAAGAGTCACATGGGCTGGAAGTAAAGTTCCTGGAATTGTCACCTAGAGCCAGATGGGGTGGCGTGTCAGATTCCGGGGACATTCAGGAGCTGGGGAAAGACTTGGGAGTCCTGGGCATAAACCACGGCGATCGATGGAGGTGGAACACGAAGGGTATGGGCCGCGGGACAGCTGGCCCCCCGGGGATGCCGAAGCTTTGCAAGTTCTGTGCCGCCAGGAGGATGAGAGAGCGCTGTGCTTCTGAACGGGACCCCGTGGTTGTCATGGAAACAGCAACAGCTCACAGGCGGCTGTTCTGTCGCGCCCGCGGCGCCGCCTTTGCAGTTTGGGGCTGAAAGCTGATTCTTGCTGTGCCCATTACTGAGCCGCCAGGGGTCTGTCGGGGGTCTGAGGAGCCAGGGAGGCACAGCAGAGCCCTGGTGGGTGCTGCGTCTCCAGTGTGTTTGGCTTTTAATTTCCTGTTGGATCTCTGCCTAATCATGGGAACCTGCTTGGCTGGCTTTGGTTTCAAAGGGTTTCAAGTCTCTTCTCATTGTAAGTTCACTTAGAACGAAAACCTTGTGAATTCGAGAGTTTTAGTAATAAATCTCATTGTTTGAAATCCTCGTTATTCAGATAAGTTTTTTTTTAATATGCTGAGTTGTTGTCTATTCTTTATCGGGCCGGTTGCTAGCAAACATTTGAAAGGCTTTGCTACGTGAGCAGTGAGATGATTTGACAGCCTCGGCTGCACACCTGAATCTCACAACTCGGGCGGAGGCGGTGGCTGCTAATTCATTGCTCTGATTTAAGGGGTGTGACTTTTTCCGTGGGCAAAGGGTTTAACAGCATTGACAGAAACAAGTAGCCGATGCCACAATCGGTCTGCCTAGCTTGTGCCTCTTCATGAGCTGCCTCTTGGCTCTCCTGGGAGCTGGGACCAGCCTGTCTGCCCCGCAAGGCTGCAGCTAGCCCGCTGCAGTTAGCAGAGACTGGAAGCAGTCTCTGGGCAGCTGTGTTGCTCACTTTGCTCTGTAGGACATTTGCTTGGAATCCTTCTGCATGCAAAGAACGTGTGGAAAGAGATCGCTTGTGGAAATAGATCTGGAAACAGTGTTATACATTCAAATGGCCTTAGTCAGATACCTTTGCTGTGACCCAACCGGGGGAAAAATGTCATTCATAATTTTCTTCATAAGATGTGGTTAATTTTACACGTTAGTATATTCATTTGTATGGTGGAAATTTTCCATGAGTTCAACCATTTAATTTATTTATTTGAAAGGCAGAGAAAGAACTATTATCATCAGCTGATTCGCTCCCCAAATACCTGCAACAGCTTGGGCTGGGCCAGACTGAGACCACGAGCCCAGAACTCAGTCTGGGTGCTGCATGTGAGTGGCAGAGACCCAAGTACTTAAGCCATCACCCGTTCCCTCCCAGGTGCATATTGGAAGGAAATTAGAATCAGGAGCAGAGGTGGGACCCGAACCCAGGCACTGCAGGAAGGGAAGTGGGCATCCCCACACCATGTGAGCTGCATCAAATGCCCGTCCCTTGTACCATGAATTCATAAGTCAACAATTTTCTTCAACGACAAACTGAGCTTCCCCTGTTAGGTGTTTTGCTAATTATCTGACATAGGCATCAGTGTCTTGGCTTCTCAGCTGAGCTGTGGTCTCTTGAAACAGCAGAGCTGTTCTGCCTTTTGCATTCCTTAAAATAGTCCACCGGGTTTAGCTGAAGTGCAAACACAGCGCTTGGATTTCTTGTACAAATCTGAGTTTCACTAAAAAATTTAGAGGGAGTTTTAGTGCTCGCCCACCTTATAGTCACATCTGCTTTTGTCCACACTCACGTGTGTAAGTTGGGTGTCTCAGAGCAATTCTATGATACCATCTGGAGAACAATTCCCCAGCCTCAGGATCCCACAGGCGCATTGTAAAGAGTTTCTTACTAATTGGTTTTGAAGGAACATTGGGTTGCAATGGGTTTGTGTCTCCAGGGCTTCGCCGACACAACCCTATCTGCATGGGCGCTTTCAGTAACATCATAACAGCAATGCCATTATTTGTGTGCTGTTCCCCGTAAGTTAGTAGATAACTTAAGCAACCAAAGCTTTTTTCTTTGTTTTTCCAAGGTCTCATCAGAAAATGGAAGACCCCGAAGAAAGCAGCGATGAGATTCTCGCTCGCCTAACGTCTGCGGTAAGACCAGCTATCCCCCGCCTCGGTGTGCACAGTAATGAGACTGGGGTCTTGAACTGGCGAGCAGTCTGGGGAGTGGTGTAGAGAGATTGCCTTATGACGGCTTTGCCTTTCTGGGCTCTGATGCACCTGCCTTGGGACATCATGGTTAGTGCTGGTGGAAAGTTCCTGTAACCTTCACAAAGGCGTTGGATCTGATTTTGTAAATACAGTGATTTAACCTGGAAAACCTGGGGCTGGCTAGACAGTGGAGAAAAGACTGCTTCATTAGAGGAAAGGAAAAAAAAGAATCTCCTTGGTCAGCAAAGGGCCAGAATGTTAACTGTTAATGGGGCTTGTTTGGGGCCTATTGCACCATTTTCGTTGTTTTTTAAAGCCGCCCATCAGCCTTGGTCTTTTTGGTTGCAGGAAAGCTCCTGCCTCTTTTATAGCAAATCTGGCTATAGCAGCGAACCCCTGAGTTCCAGCTTTGGACAAACTAACACTCCCACGTCACCAAGTTGCAATCCATTGGCTTGGCTGTCTGGGAACATTCTTCACCTTCCCTGAGCTTGCTTAGCTCTGCTTTAGTTCCATGATTATAAGAGTCATAGCTGAAAGTCATACGTGGTTGGGTTCCATGTGTGGATGGAGCTGATCTGTACTAGGTCAGGTCAGCTGGGCACAGTTTCAGGATTGAAACTTGTCTTTCCTGTTCTTCAGGAATGTAGCTTAAAAAAAAGGAGTTCTTGCCTCAATAGAATGGTCCATGGTGTCAGACTTCACATCAAATGGATTCCTGACAGCATTTTATGAACAATGTTCAGTGTGATATTTGTAGTTTAAAATATTGATCAGAAAGGAATTTCTGTTGTGTGCCAAATCGTAAAAGCCATCTGTTTGAAAAGCACTCACTGTAGGCAAGAGCCTGTGTTTTACCCTGTGTGAGCATGAACAGCCATGCACACACACCTTGGTTAGACTACTCATCACCCCTCGTTAGTGGGTGGCATTATCTCTATTTTACTCACACAGGATCTTGTAGAGAGCAAGTAACTTGCTGAAGGTCACCCAGCCAGAAAAGAACAAAGCCAGAATGTGAACTCATAATTTTCCACCTCCTAATCACATTGTCTTAACCACTACGCCTTATTTTTTCAGAATGTAATATAATGTAACTGGGTTAGTTTCAGAAGCGACAAAAACAACTCAGATTTGCTTCCAGCAGCCATACTAAGAAGACCAGACAGATATATTTAGAAAGTTAGTATATAAAGGAGTTGGAAATTGAGCACCAGAAACAGTGGTTTTATAGCTAATAAATTCAAGAACAGCAACAGGAAGCTTCCTTAAAGAGACTGGACTTGAACCACCCATGAAAGGTAGTCAGGATCTGAACTGGATGTGTGTTCGTGCTGTGGGATTTATTAGGGGCAGGTGTAGGAACGAGAAAGTACAAGATAGTACACATCGCTGGTTAGAGAAGAATGTCTTAGTTTAGAAAAATCAAGGTCCTTTTGGGCAGCATATTGATGTGATGAGGCAGATGGTTTAAAGATTTTATTTGTTTATTTGAAAGTCAGAGTTATACAGAGAGAGAAGGAGAGGGAGAGGGAGAGGGAGAGGGAGAGGGAGAGGGAGAGAGAGAGAGAGAAAGAGAAAGGTCTTCCATCCACTGGTTTACTCCCCAATTGACCACAACTGCCAGAGCTGCGCTGATCTGAAGCCAGGAGCCAGGAGCTTCTTCCAGGTCTCCAATGTGGGTTCAGGGACCCAAGGACTTGGGCCATCTTGTACTGCTTTCCCAGGCTATAGCAGAGAGCTGGATCAGAAGTGAAGCAGCCAGGACTTGAACCAGTGCCCATATGGGATGCTGGCACTACAGGTGGGAGCTTTACCTGCTACACCACAGCACCAGACCCAAGGCAGATGTTTAAGAAAGAATAAGAATCAGAGGTGGGGCAGTAAATTGGGGGCTGATGAAAACTTGGGTTTTCTCAGGACCAAAAGAAAGTTGAGTTCAGAAAGGAATCCAAAAAATTTTTTCTTAAAGATTTATTTTATTTATTTGAAAAGCAGAGTTACAAAGAGTGAGAGACAGAGAGAAAGAGAGATATCTTTCATATGCTGGTTCCTTCCCCCAAATGGCTGCAACAGCCAGGGCTGGGCCAGATGAAAGCTAGGAGCCAGGAGCTTCATTCCTGCACCTACTCCCATGTAGGTGCAGGGGCCCAAGCACTTGGGCCATCTTCTGCTGCTTTCCCAGGTGCATTAGCAGGGAGCTGGATCAGATGTGGAGCAGCTGGGACTTGAACCAGTGTCCATATGGGTTGCCCATGTGGCAGGTAGCATCTTTATCCACTATGCCACGGCACCGATCCCTCAAAGATTTTTTAAAAGCCAGCATTAGTGGGTAGAATAGAGGAGGAGTCAGCTAACTGAAGTTCTGGGACTTTCATGAGTGGAGACGGAGTTACCCAGGAAGTTGGGTAACATGTGGAAATTTAGGTGATGTTTTTAGTGGTGGGAGGGAAGCATACTGACTTTGAGAGGATAAAAACATGAAAGGATTCAGGACACACCTAGAGACCAGCATCTGGTGCTCCTGGAGTTAAGGTGAAAGTTCTGGGAATCAGTCCGAGAGAGGCTGCAGGTGGAAGAGCAGAACAGACGGCAGGGTCTCGGGACCCCCACAGTAAGAGGGCAGAGGCGCGCTGAGAGGGCAGTGAGGGGACGTGCAGGTAACCCAATGGGCTCCTGGAAACAGCGTCTGGAGAGCCTCTGAGACAGAAGGCATGGGCAGCGATTTAGACCTCGGTGAGGTGATCTTGCTGGAAAAGTCCCCAAGCAAGATGCTGCAGTGGCATTGAGGAGTGAAGAGACCGGGAGAGAAATCCTCCTCTGTGCCACTGCTGGTGAACTGGCCCAGGACCGTGAACACATCCGTGTGCTAAGCTTACGTCTTCTTCCTTCCAACCAACCGTGTGACCGTGGCCAAGTTGAGTGCCTGGCCTAGACAGTCTCTAAGGCCCCTCCTGTTCTAAAGATCATTTGTGAAAGGACGCTCATCCCCGCTTCTCTCTGCAAATGTGGCCGTTCCTGCTGGCGGTGCTGTACTGGTTACCTAGGTGCTGGCGCCATGCAGGAAGGAAGATGTACACGCCTCCTAAGCTCACTCAACAGGTCTCATCCACCATGCCCCTGAGCGTGATTAAGGAGAGCAGAGGTGATCTGTGGTGTGGAGTTGCTAGTGGACTTCCAGGGCTCTGTGTAGGGGCACTGGGGAGGCGCCAGTGGTTCCCAGCAGTGCTGTCCTCACCGGTGTAACTCAACCTCGGGATCTTTGTGTGTTAACTGTCTTTTTAAAAATCCTCATGACTTTAGCTCCCGTAGTGTTTCCTAGTACCTTTGTAGGTTCATCAGGGGGAAGGGGTCTGACATCTCAACAAATAATACCTGCAGTTCTACTCAGGAAGAAAATGAAAGCGGGCTTTCATTCATAAAGGAACACGCCTGTGTAAAAATAAAAACGTCTTCTTAATGCAGTCAGCTTGATGGTTGTTAACTTTGAAGGAGCATAAAGGATTAAGATGTTCCCGCCATGTTCAAGTGGTCTTCAGGACAGAGCACCCTCCCCAGCGTCTGACATGGGAAGCCCTATGAGAAGTCTGCAGCCTCAGTGGACAGGACGTGTGATGCCAGGCCTTTGCCACTACATACAGCCTGTGCAAATGCACGGGGCGGGGTGGGGGATCATCTGAAAACTGCCAGTCACTGTCTCCGTCTTAGCACCTTCTCCATTCTAGTCTCTGACGGCTCTGCAGATTTTGTTAACTTAAAGACCCCTATTTCGTTGATTATCAGTCTCTGTTGGTGCAGTCGGGTCACTAGGCTCAGGAGGGCCTTCGAGCGGCCCAGCCTGCCAGCTCCCACCCTGGAAGTTCCACACGTCCTTCTATTTTATTTTGTTGTATTATAAAGAAATTGGTCCCAGGGCACGTATTCCTGGGAAACTTAAGCCTCCAGCCTTTTGTTAACAGCTACATGCACTAACCAGTTGTGCAAGAGTATTTCATTTTTTTAAATTAGATTTTTCCACTGTTTGTGACCAATAGAGTGCTCAGAATTGGTAACTTTTATATGTTGTTACACTTTAAATTTAGGAGATAAGCAAAAACTCTGGAGGCACAGCAAAGACCCGAGAGGGACTTGGGAAGGGCCCAAGGACAGGAGCCGAAGCCACTGACATCTATAAAGAGGAACCAGCGCTTGGTTTGGGACTTCTGGCTCCAGTTTACTGAAAGTCTGCATGCAAAGCAGCACTGACTGGAATATGTCATTTCTTTAATGAAATGAAAGGTTCTTTAAGCTGAGTTTTCAGGCTGGAAATTGAGGCGTGAAAAATACGAGCATTTTGTCTGGGCTGGATGCCAGTTTTGCAATTTTTGTTCACAATCTCGCAATGTAATCTCAGTTACTCTGAGTTGTGAATTGTGAATGTTGGTTGCCTGTTTGATTGGATCGTTACATGAGGGGCACTTAGGAAGGGACAGGGAGCCTGTGGTATGTCCTTGGGCTGCTTGGTCCAGCGAAGTCAGTGGCGATGTGCAAAGAGAAGAGAATCTGAGGATCTAGAACAGACCGCTAACTAATTTGGTGGTGGCGGCAGGGGGGAGTGAATTTATAGCCATACCACTTTTTTTTTTTTTTTTTTTTTTTTGAGACAGAAAGAGACTTACAAACAGACAGGTGGACAGACAGATACAGAAAACTCACAGCTACTGGTTCAGTCCCCAGTTCCTGCAACAGCCAGGGCTGGGCCAAGCTGGAGCTGAGAACTGGGAACTCAGTCCAGGTCTCCCATGCCGGTGGCGGGCACCCACTCACTTGAGCCATTACCACTGCCTTCCAGAGTCTACACTGGCAGGAAGCCGGAGTCAGGAGCCAGAGGAGGGGATCAGACTCAGGTAGTCTAGTCTGGGACGCCAGTGTCTTCACTGCTGTCCTAACCACTAGACGAA